GGATATGGGGGTAGGAAGAATGGTAGAATGAATTGGACATTTTTACCCTATGTGCATATATGACTACATGACCAGTGTGATTCCACACCACGTACAACTAGAAAAATGAAAAGTTATACTCCTTTTATGTATGATGTATCAACATGCATTCTACTGTCACGTACAGCAAATTATAACAAATATTTAAAAAGAAAAAAAATAATAGCACACAAAACAGACTTTTTCATTGTCTTCCTTGCAAAGACCTTATTATACTCACCATTAATTCCAATTATATCTTCAAATATGCACATTTCTAAATTTGCTACTGTCTGACTGTGGAAATTGTTCTATTCATATACCATTTTGAGCTCCCAGGTTTTGTGTAAACCCATTTTGTGACTGACATGAGCACATCTAGAATCGAGGGGCACCTGTTCCCTGGGCATTTCCAGCCGCACCCACTACTTTGTTGACCACAATTTGAAAGCCCTGCTAATCCTAAAGGCTTAGCTCCATGATCACACTTGGTTAGCTTGAGACCAATCATTCAAAGTCACTGATTTATCAGGAAGGTTGCTTCCCCGTTACCTATTTATTTGGACTATTTTAGTAATATTTAATTTATGTACTTTTAAAAAAAATTCTCACCAGTACTCATTTGCATGTGTACCATTCACCCCCGTGAGAGTGAACCAAGAATGGATTTCTTGGGGAGTTCAAGTTTAACGGGAATAGCACTCTTTCTTTACTTTGATGGATTGCTCCTTTTCTGGGAAACAGCTCTGTGAAAGAATGGAACATTGTCCCTTTAAAAGAATCCATGACCTGTTGCATTTACAGTCCTTGAATTCAGCCCCAAGTTCTCAGCCTTGCTCCTTGTACTCCTATTCACATTTGGTTGAGATTTGACTTTGCTTAAGAAGAGCAAGATCTATTATTACTAGTCAGAAGCCATTAGGTCCCAGTATTTCAGCAAAAACCCCTAGTCTGCCAGAGTGAGCAATGATGCGGCCACACCTCACTCTCACTAAACCAGTCTCCCCAGATATGGAACTACTGCTTGCATCTATTTAGAAATTTTCAAGTTGTCTAAGTGCTTCCACCTATTAGCCCATGTGATTCCTGAAACACCTCCGGCTGCAGTGATGGGAAGGAAAAGAAGAACAGTAATTCATGCATTTGTGTAATGCTTATTTATGGAGCCAGAGAGATACGGAGAGATATGCCAGAGGCAGGGATGTATCAGACACGGAGACTGAGTCTGTACTGGTGCCCAACACGGGCATGTCCCAGTTCTCAAGTAGCTTTGAGGGTGGTAGATCACTGACCTCTCCATAAGGCAAGAAAAGAGACCTCATGGCTTATTTCACTTACTGCTCATAAACTATGAGAGAGGGCTTATCACCCTCATTTTGTACCCGAAACTCCCAGAGGTTAAGTCACTCAACTGATAAGAGGAGAGACGATGCTCAGACTCTAGCCTTTGAATGCCAAGACCGCTGATTGCATTCTGGATTCTCTCCAAATAGTGTGATCTCATGTCAACCCAGATCAATTCAAACTCTCCTTCCCAGTTTCCCACATGCCCTGGTTCAGCCTAGGTAGGTGGCTGGTGCAACACACAACAGACTGACTGAACATTTCAAATGCTCTAAGGATTTCAACCTTGATAGAGGCTCAGAGGAGATGCTCGCCTGGACTTTGTGTGACTAGTGGTGTGGGTAGGTTGTGTATGGGGTGGAAAGTGGATAGCAGGGTTGCTGGGAAAGGTGATCCAGGAATTCCCAAGGGATGGCCCTGACTCAGTAAGTCACCAGGCCAGTTATTTGAAATGAGTCATTCGGGGCACGATGGCAAGCAGCCTCAGTCCCTCTCTAAACTATGGGGAAGCCGGCAGCCAAGATATTCCCCTCTGAGAGAATAATCCTAATAATGATTGCTAGAATTTGCATGCCCCTCTACAGTTTGCAAAGCACTTTCAGACCCAGTTGTTTCATTAACTGGTGTTGTTTACTGGACTAGTTGCAAAAGGGAACAGGGCTCACACCTAGTTGGGTGGGTTTTTCTATATTTTTAAGAGTAAAATCCTTCATCAAAATGAAATCTCTCTCAGGACTCTAGTATTTAAACTGATGCAAATGGAATTTCTGTGGTGGGAGGGGACAGGGAAGCGGCCCAGTCCACCCTCAAACCTTTGCTCTGACCACTATGTCTCCAAGGAACCCCCAGGACAAAAAAAAAAAAAAAAAAACCTGCACAAAACCAACATTCTTCCTAGTGACAACTCCCTTCACTCCCCACCTCCTTCTAGAAGGGAACGCTGAAAGCCCTTGGAGGTGACATCAGGTTGAAAAGCCATTCTCGCCCAGGAACCCACCGGGGCTGTCCTCTCACAGGGCTATAGCCAGAAGCTCTACCTGGGAGCCAGCCTGCCCCAGGCTTTTCAGGCAAGCCATGTCTTGGTCACAGACAGTAGCAGGGACAGCCCTTTCCTGCTATGGCAGCCTCTTCAGGCGAGGGCTCAGAGGTACCAACTTCATGTCAGATGTGGAATGCCCCACCACTGGGAGGGCAGGCAGTATTTCTAAACAGTGATTTTTTTCCAGCCCCAAATATTCTCTCTGAAAATGCAAGAAAATGTAAGGCTCTCCCCAACTGAACAGCTTCAGTTAGACTAGATGGGGGTGAGGGTTGGGAAATATGGTGAATGCACTGAATGCCACTGAATTACACACTTGAAGGTAAGATGGCAAGCTTTACATTGTACGTATTTTAACATCATAATAATAATCTTAAAAATGTACACTGCTCTTTAGTTCCTACAGGATCAAGTTCAAATTCACTGGCCTAATTTAAAATCTGGACCCTTTCTACTTCTCTAGCTTCAGGTCTTGCTGCCCCCCACCCCACCTCTTCATTTGATCTAATATTCAGGTTATTCTACATACATGGTGCTTGATATATATATATATATATATATATATATATATATATATATACACACACACACACACACACACACATACACACACACTTACATTTATCTAGTACTTAATAGATGCAGGAATTTTGAATCATTTAATCCTCATCAATTCTATGAAGTAGATACTATTATGAAGTTCACTTTATATTTAAGGAAACTGAGCTATATACAGGCTCATTGTCTTATTCAAGGTCAAGCAGCCCAGATGGGATTTGAACCTGGACGTTCTGTTCCTGAACCCGTAGTATTCCTCACTACAAGACTACTCCCTGTGAATGACCTGTCCCTACAATTTTATCAGGAGAATTTCTCCTCCTCCTTCTAGACCTGGCTCAAATATCACCTCCCCTGGAAAGTTAGAAAAGTGGGTGACTTCTTTCTCTAGGACTGTAAGACTGATAGCACTCTGAACACATATACAGTCATCCCTTGGTATTCAGAGGGGATTATTTTCATGATACTCCCCTCGCATGGATAGCAAACTCCTTAGACGCTGAAGTCCCTCATATAGAATGGTGTCATGTCTGCATATATCCTACAATCTTCCCATATGCTGTAAATCATCTCTAGATATCTTACAAAAACTAACACAATGTAAATGCTATGCAAATGGTACTGGATGTATTGTTTAAGGAACAATGAGAATATCTTCAATCCACAAATACAGATAGTCAACTGTATTTGGCAGGATACTTCATATTGTGGGTGACAGGCTGCTGAGTCTGGCTGTCTATTAGAGTATGAGGCCTCTGAACACAAGGCCAGGTCTTATTTATCTCGAAGTCCTTGGGTGCTCACTGCATGAATGATGAATGAGTGGACGGGTGGATAATTAGGTGCATTTCTCTCCATTTTTCATTTTCCTTTAATAAATTTCAAAATCTTACCTTCCCTCAGAAGTTCTGGCATGGTTCCTTCAGGGTCTTACACAGCCACTGATAACCACTTGCGTTTTTCTGTGTATCTCATCAGGCAAAAATTCCTGCTTTTGCTTTCCCAATATTAATTCATAGTATATTATGGGTAGGTATGGAATATTGATTAAAAATATGATTTTTCATGTTTTCCAACTTGAAATGCCTCCCGGGAAGAATATGATAATCTCTGTCCCTCTTCGAGATTTATTGGCCAGGATAAGGGGGGAAAGTGGATTAAGATTTGCATAAGCAGTATATGTAGAAGCAAGAAAGAATTTGGATGAATGAGTAGATGAATGAGAGGATGGATAAAATGATAGGTGGTTATGTTGATGGATGGCAGATGAGTGGGGGAATTCATACATAGGTGGATGAATGGAGAAGAGGATGGGGGAAGGATGCAGGTTCATGAAGAAATGTGGAAAAAGATGTATGGAATGATGGATAAGTTGTATGGTGGATGAGTGGAAGAACCAGTGGTTGGATGGATGGTTGGATGTGTGGTTGGTCTAGTGGGTGTTGGGAAGACGGAGGAACATGGGTGGATACTGGATGGACAGAAGGATGGATGGGAGGATGTAAAGAAAGATGGTAGATTGATGGATGGGTGGATGAAAAACTACTTGGGAGGATGAATGAGTGTATACGTGAGTGGAAGGACCGAGGTATCATCCCGGGACCTGAGAATGAACAACACATGGATTTGAGGAGGCAAATTCCAGCCCGTGGCTGGCCATCACTAGCTGCCCCGGACCCATCTGAGCAACACGGACTTCACTACTCTCTTAGAGGAAGAAGGATGAGCGCTCCCTCAAGCTCTCCACCCCTCACTCCTCACCATGGCCCTGGAAGCGCCTCTGGGCAGGATCTCGCCACTGCCCCAGCTCCTCTCCCAGGATCTCCAGCCGCCCGCCCGCCGGGGAAAACCAGAGAATCTTTCCCAGCCTGACTCAAGAGAAATTTAGCGGGAAAGGAGAGGCCAGAGGCAGAACTCAGCGGGGAGGTTTTAGGACTCAGTCATCCTCCGGCGGGGGGCGAGCTGGTGGGAGAACCCGGCGTGCGTGCGGCGGGTGGGCGCCTCCAGGCGCTGCCACGGTCCCTTCCCGGCAGCTCCGATTTACAACTTCCATTAAGAACCGGGCGGGGGCGGAGGGCCAGGGCCGAGGAGGGCTGGTACGTCTTTAAACCGCTGCTGGCTGCTTAGTCACAGCCCCTCGCTTGGGTGTGTCCTTCACTCGCTCCCTCCCTCTTAGGTCACTCTTTCAACCCTGGAATAAAAACTGCAGCCAACTTCCGAGGCGGCCTCATTGCCCAGCGGCCCCCAGCCTCGGACAGGTTCGGTCCGCCCTCGTCGCCGCGTCCTCGGCCCGCACCCCGCCCCGCGCCCCGGAACCCCCCAGCTCCACTTGCTTGCTCTGGCGGTTCGCGCACACACACCATGGACAAGCTCTGGTGGCGCGCAGCCTGGGGACTCTGCCTCGTGCAGCTGAGCCTGGCGCAGTTGCAGATCGGTGAGTGACCGCGGCCGTCGGGGCCAGCGGAGTGGGAACCCAGGACAGCGCCGTGGGAGCCCCGGGGGCAGAGTGGCCCTGGGGGACTGTAGTCCAGCGGAAGGCGAGCGACTTGGATTGGATTCTGGAAAGCAGGGCTGGGATTGGCGCTGAACTGCCGGTAGACTTTGCTGGTGGGAAGCACCGTTGTGTTGAGGAGAACCGGGGAAAGAGAGAGGAGGCTTTGCTGGGCAGGCTGCCCGCGCGCAGTTTTGGGTGAGGTCCTTAGGGCTGGAGCACATGGCTGCAAGTTAACTGTACTCCTGGATGCTTAGCTGGTGTCTGGACCAGCAGGCTCCTGCGCCCAAGGGCTCTCTGAGCCCCACACGCTGTGGTTGACAGGGCAGAGCTAGGCAGGGCAGGGGCAGGAGCTGAGGCAGGTGCTGGCACTGGGACAGGAGGGGTAGGAGCCTGGGTAAGGTGGCCACACACTTAGAAGCCCTTGGCAATGAGCTTTCCAGAAAGACAACTGGGAAAGTGAGGGTGGCTCCCCACCTGAATCTGGTTTCCCAAGCCCTTATCGCCCCTCCGGTCACCGACCACCAGAACTCTTGTGGAAACTTGAACCAGCTCTGAGGCCAGGTCTGGATATCTATGAGGGACCAGCCCCGGCAGCTGGGCAGCGGCAGGGAGACTGTATAGGACAGGCAATGACTGGGCCAGCTGCGACCTCCTGGTTCTGCCAATCAGTCAGGGAAAATCCGGAACACAGATAGGACTACTGTTCCCTGCCTGGGAGCCTCGGAGATGGAGGGAGCTTGGATATCAGGGTAACATCAGGGACCCAGAGGCTAAGGTTCCAGGATCCCATCCAGAGGAGATTGGGGGCTTTTGGTGGCTGTAGAGGGGAGGGGCTGCGAGGTATTCCAGCATGGCTCAACTCCAAGTGTTCCCTCTCTTTGTCTGTATATGAACAGATAATTTTTACATGACCGATTTGCTTATCACCAGCAAAATTAATTTTTCTTTCAAGTTGTGCCAGCTGGGTCACAGAGACAGCTCAGCCTACAGTTAATTCTACTCAGCAAATACTTATAAAACCCAGTTCTTAGGAATACCAAGGAAGCAAAAGACACAACCCAACCTGTGGGATCTAGAATTTTGATTAGGTGGGATCTAGAATTTTGATTCCTGGAACAGAAGCAATGCAAATAATGATAACAACAGTAACAACAACAATAATAGCGCTGTGGTAGAACTAGTCACTGTTGTACACTTTGACTGTGTTAAATCCTTTACATGTGTTATCTCATTTTACCCTTGCAATAGCCTGGTGACAAGTACCCTGTTATTAAGCCCATAGGAGGAAAACAGAGGCTCAGAGAGGTTAGGTGACTTGCTAGAGGTTACACAGCCACAGGTGGTACTGAATATGAACTCAGGTTCATTGAGTTCTGAAGCTTAGGCTTAGAATATGTTAGAATGTACTCCAGGATGGGCGAAGTTGGGTAGGATTTGGGGCAGGAGTAGACCAGAGACCACAGGGAACTGGTGCTCCAAGGGGCCTTTGAAAGGCAGAAATGCTCTTATGGGAGGGGAGAGGGCAGGAGCCCTGGGCCCAGCCTCGGAGAACAGAGGCCCGAGAACAGAGGCCGGGGAACTTCCCTGAGCTTCCAGGGAAGGTTGCTGGCATGTTACCCACTGGTGTCTTCTGCTTTGTCTCTGAGTATCTTGATTCTTCTCAGCCTGTCTCCTTCTAAAGGGCCCTGTCCCCAAACACTCCTGACCCTTGGGGCTCTCCCAGAGACCAGCAGGCTCACTCCTGCCTCGCGTTTCCCTGGTCTCTTTGGGTGCATCATTCACAGAAGGCACGAGAAGTGCCAGCTGCAGTGAGCACCTGGGTCCTGACTTCCGTGTGCTGGTGGAGTTGTTTAAAAGGAACTGAGACTTGAAAAGGAGACAGGACTCTGCCTACCCAGGGCTGGGTAGGCAGAGGGGGAAGAAGAAGGAAGGGAGAGGAATGGAAAGGCACCGCCATGACCCATTCTTGGGTGTGGAAGACTCTGGAAGACCATGAAAATGGAAAGGGGCAAGGCTTTGAGCAGAGGAAAGAAAGGTCCAAATTCTGCATCAGAAATCAAAAAGCATAGCAATGGTCAAAGCTCCTTTAAGCTCCTTTGAACCTAGAAACTCAGAGTTGGAGAACAGGTGCCTTGAATGAGGTGTGGGGAGAAGAAAGTGGCCTTAGAGGGGAGGAGTCCTCTGTACACCCCTCACCTTCCTCTGTGGTGAAAGGTCAGTGCTAGGGAACTGTACCCCTGGTTTTGAGAAAGAGGGGCGCCTCTGAGAACCCTGCTGCCTGGGGATGGCCAGTACCCTTCTGCTCCCCTGGGGCTTAGAGACGCCGCCCCCTGCTGGGAGCCAGGGCTTTGGCTGTGTTCCCATGAGAGGAAACCAGGAAGCAGAGCTGCATCCCCTGGGGGGGGGGGTTAGCACCGATTAATTCAGTGATTCCCCTGGCACACACAGGGCATCCTGAACATGCTTGGTGTGAGTACGTGTGTTGGAGGCTGCAGCCTGCAGGAGAAGGGTCTATTTTCTTCCAAATCTTCCCACGTGGGAGGATGCTGGACCACATGAAATTCCTAGTTTATGACACATCCCCTTCCATTCATTCAAGAAATATTCCCTGATTCATTGTCATAAACTCAGAGAGGGGGACTCTAAGCATCATTTAGGGAAACACATACACACACACACACACACACACACACACACACACACACTCACATCAAAAAATCCCTTCTTTTTCCCAAGGAGGAAGTAGACCATGAAAGAGAGGGACTAGTGACTTGCCCTCTGAGACTGATTAGGGCAGGGTGCCTTTCATACATTTGGTCTCTAAAATACCTTTATCTTGGAGGTCTGTAGGAGGCTGCCCCAACCCTGCCGAGCGCTTGTTTAACACCTTAAATACTGTCTTACCACTCATCCCAAGTCTGTAGTTTGGCCCCACAGTAGTTCTGTTTGAACTTCATAAAGAATGATAATAAGAAGGGAGGCTGGGGGAGGAGGAGGGAAACACTGGGGGAGAATAGTGACCAAATTTTATGGCCACAACATGAACATGTACAAATATGTAACAAAGAATTGAATCCATTATTATGTATGATCATAATGTACCAATAAAAATAGGAATGAATATATATGTTCATATATGTTCCTATTCCATAATATATGTATATAATATATTCATATATATATATATATACACACACATACACATTCACACACTCACACACATACACACACACACACACACACACACACACACACACACACACATATATATGTATTATGGTAAAGCAAGTTCATGCTCAAGAACAATTCCGCCTTGTCCTGGGGCCTCTGTGGCTCCGGAGACATCTGTGGATGTCAGTTTTAAAACCTGGCACTTTGCTGTTGTACCAGATGGTTCTATGCAAAGTAGGGTCCTAAGTTTCTAGGAAAATGGCACTCACTAAGCACCAATTCTATGCTAAACATTGAGCTGGGGTTTGCCATGAGTCTCTTACGTAAGCCTCACAGCAGCCCTATGCATGAGTGCGTTCTTCACTCCATTTTCTTGATAAAGAATTTGAGGCTCCAACTTCGCCCATCCTGGAGTAAATTCTAACATATCCTAATTTGACTTGCCCAAGGATACAGTGGTAGAGTCATGATTCCCCTGTGGTCTCAAATCCCCCCAGGTTGAACCTCAGGGCCTCTGCTCTGTCCATTCATTGCTTGCCTTTGGAGAACTTTGGAAACTGTGTGTGATCCTCCCACCCTCCTGCCTTCTGAGGCCAGCACAGCCTGGCATGAATGACTTTGCCCTCTACCCTCAGGCTGGTTTTGGATTCTCAAATACCCTGCCCTGCCCTGCCCTGTCCTGACTCGTCACTCTGCAGGCCTGGCCGCAGCTGTCAGAGATGTCAGCCTTCTTAGTTGTTGCTAAAATAAGTCAGTGGATTCCCTTATCAGAGTCCAGCTGCCCTTCTAGACATGCTCTCATTTGCAAGCTTGGAAAAAATGGAGAGGTTGCTCCCTAAGAGACAAGTCAGGGCAAAGGCCTCTCCTGAAATTGAGAAAGAGGCCCTGCAGATGCTCTCACACTGACCTTGCAGGCGCTTCTTATGCAGCAACCCACAGGGGCCCTTGGTCACATGCTCATTAGCAGGTTCTACCTGCCCCTGGTAAGGGGAAGTCTTGGTTCTCCCTTGAGCTGACATGCTTCTCTGCAAAAGTCAAAGATTTTGAGCCAAAACCAGTGTGGAATGCTAGGTGACATGGAGCCACCCAAGAGATGGTGAATCAGCCTGGAGTCTGCTGATGGTCAGGAGGTAGCAGGAGGCGAGCGGGGCCTCCCCAGCAGCCCAGCCAGGGGCTGAGGAAGAGATTAGCTGTGGCTGTTTCCCCAGCACCTCTGTTTTAGTCAGCTCCACCCAGACCTGAAAGGGAAGTGATTCTTGTGAAGGAAGGAGCTGAAGCAGGTGGCGGAGTCTGCCTCCCACAGCGTCGTTTTCAAAGGGGATCTTTTTGGGCCCCAGAGAGAAATTCTGGGGGTTTGCACAGTGAGATGCCAATGACTCAATTTCCGGTGTGTTCTCTGCTTGAATGAGGACACGAGTGTTCTTGAGGGAGAACGGGTTCCTCCCATTTGAAATTTAAACCCTACTCTCCACTCATGGAGCAGATGAAATTTTTTTTTTTTTTAAAAAAACACTCCCCCAAACTGGGTCTGAGAAGCCAGCCCCATCCGCCAAGAGGAATAGAAGGGGTATTTCTCTTATCTGTCTTCTACAGCTCTGTGGGAGACCCCCCTGATATCAGGGATCATATCCTCCCCTTAGTTTTTTGTAGTTCCAGACCCTAGAGCTGGTACACGTTTGAGACCAGAAACTGTTGGTTGAACTGAATGGAAGTTCTAGGATCTAGACCTACTTCTCCATAGCAATGCTAGCTGGCTGGCTGGCCGGTCT